CTGGCCTGTTCCCCATCCCCACCCCCTTTGGAAAGTCAAAAAAAGAGGAAAAAAAGACAGTAAGTAAAATAAAAAAATTGATCACCCAAAATGCCTCAGAAGTTATTTTTGGCTGTCTCCTAGAAAAGAAAAATTTTGCAGGGGAATGTCCCCGGACCCCCTAGAAGGGTATTGTTATCTGGATTGGCCCCACTTTCAGCCCCCCATTTGGACATCTCTGGATCTGCCCCCGACAGCCACACATATACAAAACAAATGCGCAAATGCGATATAAATCCGCCGTAAACTGCATACAAACAAGAGTTGATACGGGGAAGTAACAGGGGAGGGAAGTTTAAGAGACACCAACTTATTTTGAAGGTGCATGCACCATCCCATGCCCTCCAGTAGACGACTGGTTTCCACACATTATTATACTATTATTCTTGCTTTAGGTAGGAATTATTTCATGTTTTTTTTTTTTATTCATTCAATTTCATACAAGAATTTGTCCAAGTATTTCTAATCATAAATTATAAAATATTTTGAAATACAAGTATAAAATATGCTTGTTACTTCTTTTCAAATAGTGTAGGCCTACATATTATTGAAAGAACTATTAAACTTTATGGCTATTTAAAAATTATTTGTAAAACTTTTATATTCAATTAATGCTAATATTCTCAAACCTACTTTACTATTAGATTTATAATAGCCTGTACATTAAATATTCATTACTTTAATTAAAAACCTATTGCTGATCTGCTCATTAAAATAGGCCAATATATTAATGATCATTTTAACAATTATAATTATATTTTTAGTTCATTATACTGCTAGTCTTAAATCTTTTTTTTTTGTGGCGGTATAATTAACATACCATAAACGGATTTGGTTTTTGCTTTTTACCACCATACACTTAAATACCATGGAAACAGGCTTGGTGTAAGCTTCCACTGTATAGCTAGACCTCAATGATAAAGGTCAAAACAGTGTTATGGTAGAACCTCTTGCTGAATTGGCCTAATACCAGGAGAATAAATTTATGAGGATATAAAATTTTAAGACAGATGGTATAGCAGCAATCCACAGGGCCTGTTAGGCTATCTACTTTTAATTTCTGAAATTCATATGTATATTCATATAGGTATAGGGATCACAATTTAAGCAAAATTAATTAATTATAGGACTATATGATTAGGGAGGTATATTTTATTCCTCCTTGATATGATTGCTAATCTTTTCATCATTTTTATTTATCATACAATTATCTTAATAAGCTAATATTGTTTTTAAGCTATCACTTGCAAACTTGTGTATTATCATTTTCGGTATACTCATATATCATCATCATATAAAGCATTGTCATTGATCATCATCATTATATAATCATTATCATTGGTCAACATCATCAGTATCAATCATCATCATCATCATCATCATTATATTATCAACATATATAAATAAATGTCATCATGAAAATCATCATCACCAAGTGACACAGATGATCATGAAAACGATCATCAATGACATTAAACCACTGTCATCTCTTACACATTACAACTGATCTCATTATATGAAGATGTGATCACTTATCTGGAGGTGAATTTATGAATTAAAATGTGCCTCTAAACGAAAATAAGACATGGACATGTTTCTTCCTTCATTCATGTCGTGATGTTGACAAAATACAAATTGAAGTAAACAAGAATTAGGAATAGATCGTAGATGCATTTTAATTTGTTTTGTAGGCTCGTAAGGGAGCACCACACCTCCTCTTCTTGAGCTGCTTCTGATCAGCAAAGATGTAAACAATCATCTCCACGGAGTTCTTAACCCCACATATGGTAAGAAATCACTTAATATTGACCTTAAACGCGTGTAAAAATGATAATACAATTTATGATGCATGCAATACATTGGAAGCATAGGCCTAGATCGATTTTAATTCCATAGACCAGAATTTTTTTACGCATTTTTTTTTTTTATTAAATAGATACTGAATTCAATTATAGCGGGCCAGGTATATAGTAGTAGCAGCAGCAGCAGAGTTGAAAATTAAAAGGCACAGCAGAAAAATTATGTACATCGTACAAATTCTTAACGTCCGTCTTCGTAACTTACCAATTATTGTGATTTTAAGCCAAGGCGGCTGTGCATTCACCTTAGCCTTAATATCCTCCACAATATTCGACATCTTGGCTGGAATTCCTCGCTGTATTTGGCTTTACACACGACACTCCCAGTTTTGCTCCGACGCGCTTAATTATTATGCTGTACGTAAAATGCCCGGGGAATTTTCTCATTGTAAATATAGAACGCGCATGTACTAAGCTCGTCCTTAGGTCGCATCTAATCATAATAATACCATCATATTATAATAATGTATTGGTAGAAGCCTATAGTGTGGGGGCGCTATGATGAAAAATTAATTGATCAGACTATTGTACAGTATCACATTAATGGCTGAATAATAATCACTGTATTCTTCTTTGTACAGTACTCTGTTCTGTGTAAAGCAGATGTGTTTTACATTTTACAATAGGCTTATTCTCCAAGAATAAATAATAAACTTTATTAGTCGGTTTTGATAATATTAACATTATGATGTAAATAATTAGCAATAAACAAGTTTAATATTAAAAATATAAATTATGATTAAAAACGAAACAGACAAATTTGACCCGTTATAGTATTATTCTTTATTTCTTTGACAACGCTAAAGTGCTCTCTACAGTTCAAATGTTCAAATATGAAATAGTAAATCTATATAGAAAATGGAGTGAAACACACTTCTACAAACATTCTGATATCACCAGGCAGATTATTGGGGAGTATTTTCATTTTACAGCACCTACATAAACAAACCCTGGTAAATAAACCTAGCTTATTAACACCTAGTAACAAGGTGGACATATTTCACTTAAATATAATTTTCACTTTTTTTTTTATTGATGTTATGCACAAATAACTGTTTAATCTATATAATATTGGATATTTCTTTCCATGCAACTTCAAATCACTACAGCTTTTAATTTATTCAAATTTATGCAAGTAGCAAAGGATTAGATACAGCCAAATTTGAAAAACAAGCATATATATCCAGAATTTGATCTGGCACAATATGTGCTTGCATTTGCTCAAGCACCTAGAAATTAATGAATTATTAAATCCTGCATCGTTTTGTTTGAAAAATGAAGTAAAAAATGACAGAAGGCACATTTCAATTATGAACACACTTTTTTTTGCAATTATTGGCCATGTTATTTTATCTATTTTAATGACTTTACCTTGTAATCCAATTCTAGTACTATTTTTTTTTTATAACCATCCACCATTTTAGTACACTAATTTAATATAGTCCCCTTGTCCAGTAACTTCCAAGCAAATGAATAAATGAAAACCCAAACCCACAACCTGAAAGACACCAGTGTTTTGTAGTTAAACCTAGTTAACTGACTTTTTAGTCAGTTAAACCTAGTTAACTTACTTGATTTAAACAAAGTTATACCTGGTGGTGAATTACTGTATCAGAACCTCTGTAACTTGCTAATGCTTTAAACATCATTAAACTACAGTTAGTAACTGTTTACTTAGCTATGTTGTGTTACTTACAGACCTCTTATTCTAACTCTTAGACTGGACATGGCCAAATAACAAAAATTACATGTTTCTCTTCCCATTTTGGAGCCTGCTTTCTTTTATGTTACTAGTTAAATTTATCTTAAAAACCTGTTAAAATATCAATTAAATTATCATTGTGAATATAATGTATAATGATAACGGTTGGTGTGTCCTCGGACAAAATAAAAACTTTTGTCCCACACTTCCAAAAATATCAGAGCAAGTCCCTTAAAAACCATACATGAGAGAAACATCTATTTTTTTTCTTTGGCCAATTACTATGTTATGTGTACAGCATGGAAGATTTAACTAACATGAACATTTAAATAGTACAGTAATATCAATGTATAATCTTTAATTAAAATCTTAATTATTAAAGTATTTTTAAATTGAAATAAATCACATCAATATCTGTATTATAAAATTTGAATTTATCATAATTCAATCCAAATCACTTTCGTTCTTGTGCATGAATCTTGTGTTTTTGAATCACACACCCCTTTTACAAACTACAAATGGCTTAACATGACATTGAGGAAAAAAGGTGACGATTTTGTGTTACGTTTCAAAAGTGAATTTTATCACAATAAACTTCAAGCTATCTTTATTGGTAATAAATGAATAACTTTAAACATCCTAATAAACTGAAGGGTCTTAAATCAGGGTAACAATTTCCAGAGATCTACACTATTTAGATGAACTAACAACAATAAACAAATTTGTTTTTTTTTTCCAAATGATTCACTAGTTAGAAACTATGTAATTCATCAAAAACAAAATTATTTAACAAATATCTTGACATGAATGAACTCAAAATTCCCATTGCCAATGCAAAAATATACACTGGATCAATGCTATGGTTATACTAAAAACATTAAATTATAAAAGGAATAACTGTGGGATATAGATTAAATATGAATATTACACCTGATCAAAGGTATCAACACTTAAAAATTCTTCGTTCACTCTATTATCATTTCAAACATGTTTTTGTGTTAACTGAAGCAGTGACAGGCAAGCTAATTAATTAACACCTTATCCTAATTAAATTTCTGATAATTAGGGATTCATTCATAATCATATAACCAATCAGTTAGGTTTTTTTGAAGAGTTGGTCAGTTTACATTTTGATTATGAAAAAGCACTGTTTATGGTACAGATTGAGTAATGTTTTTCAAAATGATAAACATTTTGTCATGAGAGCGTTTTCCTTGAAGATATGACTGATGTTACGAATGATGGAATTTTTATCTCACTCTGCTGTTGAAAGGATCAATAACTGAATAGCGCCCTCTTTAGTCCTGGTGATCTGGGTCTAGGTTTTCAGGTTCTCTTTCTTGTTTCTCCTCTAGGGTGTTGGCAGTCTGCTGGGCTTTTAAAGCTTCCTTCATTTGCTGAGCAGCGATATCGGCAACTTGGTCACTTGCGGCTTCTTTAGCTACAAAATTGAAGAAAAAAACCCATGAATTTTCAATTTAATCTAGTAAATCTAATTAATAAAAAAAATAAACATTAAACAATTATCAATGCCCTCAACATGCATGTAAAAAAAAGTTAAATTAAGATATGTGACCAGCTCTGGCAAAATAAGCCATTTGTAGGAAAAATTCAAAATTGAGTTCTTCTGTATGAATTTTTCTTTAAACCGGTGTTTATTTGATGGAAATTGGTTGAGTATTAATATTAAGTTCATTGGATATCAACCATATAGTTTATTAAGACTTGTATTTTTAAAAATAATTTTAATATACAGTACAGTTCAGTTCAGTTAGATTTAGTGATTGATATTTTGCAGAAATGTTCTTCAATATATTTTCTTTTATAAAATGTAAAATCCTGAAAATGTTCAAATTTTTGATTCTCAGACATTTTGGGTGCTTGTGCGAAATTGCAACAAATTACAGGATTTGCCAGAGCTGGTCACATATGGTAACACAAACCTGTGTGCTGTTTAAATACAGATTAAAAATTGAATTTATTATATGAAGACTATAGATGGGATGAGCTTGCTTGAATCTTGCAAGGTCAAAATTTAAATACTTGCGAGTACAATACTATATGGCAACAACCTATAAATAACAGGGCGGTACACATAAGCTGATATTCATTGTAGTATAGTATATGATGGCAATAAAATTACAGAGGCTATTAAATTGAAGTTGCTTTATGTAGAGTATCATTTGAGATTAATAAAATGATGAAGATGCCCCAGGATTACGAATGTTGTGCATTATGAGAGGATAAAAATACCCAGAAAAATTGTCATAACTTTACATTAGTAAAATTTGTGCCACCATGATAGTTAACTCGAGTTATACAGTAAAATCACTAAATTTAACACAATGAATTACAACAATAAAAATAAACTTTGAATAAACACAATTCATCAACATGTTTAAACAACAACCTAACAAGAGTAAGTAGATTAAGAGTCAACAAACATTATAAAAGGAAGATTCAACCACAATTGGTTAAAATGTTCAACAATTTGATGATAAAGTTAACAGAATAAAAAAATAATGATGAACCATCCACAATTTATCAACATCATCTCATGTGTACAAACAGTATAGGGATAAGGTACATATAATATTGCTACGGTCTTTCTGTAAACACTGATCTTAACTGTGTCAGGTAATCCATATATCGGTGTCAACAAATCATTCAGGATTATGCAGCTAAAACTTCAAATAAAATATTAATTGAGTTCAGTATTATTCCAAACAATCTAAACAGGTCTGTATTGATGTTTGAACATGCAATGAATTGATTTATCCAAACTTATATATTATTTATAAAAAAATATCAAGGTCCTGGTAATGTTGTAATATCGGCATGGAAATTGTAAAAGTAATGAGATGCAAGTGATATGCAAATGAGATCCAAATGAGAAATGATAACAAATGTAGAGAACACATTTAATAATAAAAACTACAGTATTCAAAATAGGGTTCCAGAGTAAACAATATAAAGAATATCAAACCATGCATACAATACAAAGGGAATGCCTAGGGTACTAATTAGGATATTAATTAATGCAAATTAGAGAACGCAAATTTCAACGAATCAGAAAGCATAGCAAACTCTACCTTGAGACATGCCCTTCCACACTGCAAAGTACAGACACATCAAACATTTAAACAGAAAATTTATATTAAATATGGCTATAGAACATTTAATACACTATTCCTTATTGCCACACTAATATACATACAAATAGAAACTAAATAACTAATAACTACGATTATAACATTTAACACACACAACTAAGCATGCATCTTGACCTAAAATAAATAAAAAAATTGCATAAAAAATATTTGTTGATAACATCTTATGAAAAATATAACTTTTAACTTCAGTACAGTACATTTCATAATTTAAAATGTTTGAATTCTAAAACTACAGTACCTGGCTATACTGTAAAGTAGTGATGAGAGCCCTTTTGTGACAATTTTAAAAACTATCCCATTCCAAGTACAGAATGATTACACTGTTGACTTGAATTTCAATGAATGTATGAATATGGGCTTGTTTAAGAGCATAATTTGTACTATGAAAAAAATGTTTTATATATACTTTTCAACACGTAAAATGGCACATTTTATAGACTTAATGGAATTGTTAGAAAACCCAATATTCAGTTTTTTTCTTGAAGAAATTGTCGTTTTCAGGAAGTAACTTTCATCACAATAAATTACAATAAAAATAAGTTTTTGTCTATTATTATCATTATTGTTTACAATATATTACCAAAAAATGTTTGCTCAGTACATGACAAGTAGACTTCACACAATACAGTAGTATCAATATTTTATATTTATTATAATAAATATTACATTACCTTCATCAAGAGCTGAGCTAGCAAAATCTGTGGCCTTGTCAATGGCTTCCTCGAGCTCTTTCTCATGTTTTAGGAAAAGTGGCTTGATTATACGGTGGTAGAGGACGTTAGCTCCATTGTTCGATATTGGGGCCATGCACCAAATCAAGAAGATCATCTATCAATGAAAATCAGAAAATTAACCAAAAACATTAATTACATTTTATTTCACTTTAAAAATGTCATTTAAGCTGGTTTATAATTTACAGGATACAGAAATTACTGAACATTATAATTTTCTTTTTCCTTTTTACAAATTAAAATAAGCATAAAATGTGTATCTATCTTTATAATTTACTTTTATATATACTATAATTGTTATATTTAATGTTTTTAATGTTACTATTATACCCTTTTGTCGGAGGAAAAAACTGTCCACAGCAATTATGTTTGCTTTTTGTTTATTCTGCCACTGACAAGGGTATTGTCTTGCCCTTCCTGTTTTTTTGTACTTTGTATATATTTTAAACTTTTGGTGAAATAAATGAAATGCAAGTATGATGGGTAACTGAAATTAGTGAAAGTGTTGTAGTAAGGTGAAGAGGGCGGTGCAACATCTCAAAGCTAAATTTCATTGTACAAAATACATGCACACATTAATTTTTTTATGGTAGAAAAGAGATTTTATAACAAAAATAAGAAGTTAATTAGGATACAATTAAAACTTAATGTCATCAATCTACTTCAGATTTTTAGATGCCAATGTTGTTTTCAATACTCCTGTTGATTTTCCCAATCAGCATTATTGTGTTTCTATCTATAGAGTTGTACAATCTGATTTCACAATTCTTTTCTAGACTATTATTACACAATTATTTCAATATGGTACTTTGTAAACTATCTGTATTGAATGAGCCAATTTGCATAAAAACAAAATAAACAATGGTGAAGATAGCACAGATGAAGTTAATTACATCATCGTAACTCTCACCACCACTCAATATGTAATGGTAACAACCAGCGAAGTAAAAGGTGGAATTTTCCCCCAGTTTTTAAATATTTTGAAATCTGTATCTCATTTTTTGTTAAATATGCTTTTTGTGTGTTAGAAAAATCAGTTGTACAACACATCAAACATTTTATCCCCCCCAGAGCCCTCGGTGGAAACCAGAAGTGACCAACCCCGCTGCCCCAGAGAACACTTATGTGTGGATGGCTGGAGGGCCGTGGTTCCTTCCATCTAGGTTTTAGATTCCTTAATTTTTAACATTTATTTACTAAAAAAATATATAGGCCTATATGAAACACTAAAATTAGCACTTGGTGATGCCGTCGACTGAAGCACATACTCGTCCAGATGCTGAATAGGCGATGGTGAGCACCAGCATAGAAACTAGTGGAAAAGAAGAGTCTCCATTTATCATAAACTCCTCCCTCTTTGGTTACATTCCACTAATAATAACTTACCTTGAACAAATAGTAGAACGGGAACCAAGACAGGAAAATGTCGGAGAAGAATTCCACCATGCCAAATGCGCTGTAAACTGTCCAGTAGGTAAGCCATTGCGTGTCATCATCCTTTTCCGTGCTCTCAATTGCTTTAATACTGTAACAATAAAAATGTATAAACCAATATTCAGTCATTTATTTCCAATGTGACTTTATCCACTACCACAATTTAACACCCTCAAAGCTCAGTAGTCTTTAGGCATGTCATATGGGATGCATGACCGCTCAGGGATGCAGTTATGATGGGCGGGGACACCCAGCCTGTAAATTTCCACCTAAACTAAGGCTAATTTCACGGCCTTTATTCACCTCCCTTGCCTATCCTTAAATTCCACTCTTATTATAATTATTTATCAATGTTATCACGCACCCACGCTTAAAATGTCTACCAGCCACCCTTAGTTTTCTACAGCTACAACCCTGTACACTGCATATAGTTTGTCTTGAAAAAGCTACCATTATTTCTTAAAAACTGTTCAACTCAACTTTGGAATTAATTTGGAAAAAAAATCTGTATAGTATATATTCTGCTTTCCACAACCATTTATTTCACAAATTTATTTCTCTCTGGGCCTGGTTTAATGGTATTATCTATACTCTCATGGACATACTTCACTTTTGATCTTTAAAATAACTACTGAATTGTACTGTAATGTTTTTATTAAATATTAATTGCTATAAATACATTTTAAAAACAATACAGTTAACCTCGAATAATTTCCACGTCCAATGCCAAATAAATTCCATTAATTAAAGATCTGTAAGTCGAATTTTATCCAAGTCGAACAATATTTTCAATGCCACTTTGGATTTGACTTAGGCAAGTTCAACTGTACTTGCATGCTAGAAAATCATGACTCAATAGAGACTCAATAGCTCAAAAATTTGGACACAAATTCTACTCCCTTTTCCCAGACACTCAAATTTTATTGACAAAAACATGTGACATGTCTAAATATGGTCATGATAACATTACTTCATGATCATAAAGGAATATCATTACTATGGGTATACTACAATTGGTTTTTTCAAAGAACATGTTAATAATATGGACAGATCTTTAAACACGGCAAGGCACAGGCGTCCATTAGTTTTCTTCTTGGCTGCCGAGTCCATTTTTCAGTTCTACCATCAACTACACTGCACCATTATCAATAGCTTCCTCAATGTGCCAAGCAATACAATTCCATATGACATGTTTATTGAAATATGATCACCATCACAGATCTTACATTTATAGTAATGAATATTTGATTTATCTAATGCCTTTCAACTCATTGGAGAGATGTCTTAAATATTGAAGCGATAGTCTGCGGAAGTTTACAGTACATGATACTGCAAATTTCTCTCTATAAAATATTCATAGTTGAATGAAACTATATTTTAAGAAGGGATTTCAACAAGTTGTCTTGAATTTTGACACTTACTGTACAATGTACACAGAAAGTACACAGTACTTTTTGAAAATATGATAAATAAATCCACAATTTGAATATTATTATTACTATCTAAAGCTGAAAAATATCAAATCAGTTTCTAGAGAAATTTGGTATGTATAGTGTGTAAGGCCCAATAAAGAAAATTATCAGTTTACTATCCTCGCATGCATGTCTTTTATGGTATAGAATAAAAGAATTATTTTAATTTTTTTAATTTTTTAGTAAATAGTAAATACTGTTTGTATTACCTCAATCATGTTTTAGTTTTGAATATCAATGCACCAGTAAATAACCTAAGGCTGATATTTGCCTATAGCAAAATAAAAAAAATAAAAATTCTCCCTCCCTCATCACTTTTCCAACCTAGATAGGGCGATAAACTAAAATTTTTTTTATAGGGCTTAAGCACTGTACTATATGTATTGTAAGTAATTGAATTATACAGTATAGTAATAATATTGTACTTACTGTAAATTTCAATTAACTTTTATTGCTAACTGTGAATAATGCAAAAATTAAGGCTAATTAATTACAGTTATGTGAATTCATTCTGAGATATCATGTGACATACCTGCTCCAATCAGAATAACAACAGAATGTAACAATATAATATTTATACTAAGCTCACCCAGCTGCTTCTATAAACTAATGAAACATCTATTTATTTAATAAAGAATAACCTTACTATTACTATAATACACAACAGCCATGTCATGTGAATTGGCCAATAAGAATGTACAGTATAAAATGTCTCACCATACAGCCTAAATAAGCAGCAGGGGCTACCAGCCTTGAAAAAGCTAGGCCACTAGATCAATCTTTTAAATTATGAAGAGGGACAAAGCAGGAGATGATGCCTCAATGCATGCAAATAAGCAAGACGCATATAGAAATTCAACAAATTACTGTATATTATGTTATATTCGTATTTTATTTCTACCTTTACATTGTTTTCATTTTCAAACAGCGTAAGGAATTACTTAAAAAGAAGGAAATACTCAGATAGTATAAGAACTTTCTTATTGAGATGGAGTTGCTTGTATTTTTAAATAATACCAGGTATATGCGAGCTCACACCATTGGCACTAAGCTACAATTATGATTGATGCAGTCGAAGAACACAATTATATTACTTTATTATATTATCCCTCCATAAACAAGGTAATCACCAACAAAAACTGAATTTTAAAATTGATCTCAGGAACTGAAAATGTAGTATTAAAGGTCCCACTAAAACTAAGCCAACAGGAAATTTCACAGTACTTACAAAGATAAGTTATTATAATTTAGATTTGGATAAAATTGTTGCATTTTGAGATAAGAAAAATCTAATGATATCTACTTGAATAGTACTTAACATTGAATTTTATAATATAATATGCATCAATTGCAATTTTAACTAAATATTATTAGATTTGATTATCTTAATTTTGTTAATTAAAAAGCAATGTTTTCAGCACCTTTTTGTAGTCTACAAATTCACCCAATTGATAAAACATGCCCACATACTAACGGCCACACATATTTACAGTGATGTACAAACTTGTGAAATAAAAGATTATGATCTAGTAGTAATCATATTTAAACAAATAAAGTGACAAATTGAGGAAATATTACATTGGTAATGTGTTTACATAAATACAAACCTTTTGTAAACAGTCTATGTCACAAATTCTCTGTGTATTTAGGTTACGCCTATGAAAGACTTCCAACAATATATTAACTAGCAATTCCTTTTTCTGAACAAAATAGGAATTCCTTACAGTAGTTTAACAATACACCATTTGTGGTATTTTTTAATACTCAGAAGCAACAAAGGAAGTTTTTCTAATGAAATATTTGTATATTGTATTTATTCTGTTTATACAATGGTAACAGAATTTCAGCTGGTTTGTTATATTAGTGAATGTGTGTAATGAACAACTACAAAGAAAGCATGCTGCACCCTTTCTGATGACAGCCAAGACCCTTCCTTATAAAAAGTCAAAGGTCATATGAGTTGAACATATGTTGCATTCAAATCATGTGACCCTGTTTGCCTAAATTATTTCAAAGGCTTCAATGCTGCGTTTCAAGGTTCAAAGACATGCAAATAACTAATACTAGCTCAAGGCCTGTTCTACAGTTCATCAGCAATGTAATTCCTTTTAAAAAATTGCTTTTATGCAAGGATATGAATCGTTTATTATCAACCTTAAATGCAGCTCTAAGATTTTTCAACTCAAAAATGACAAATTATGTTCATAAATCGAAAAGTCAAGTTGCCATGAAATTAACAATCATTAAACTGTCTAATAACTTTTCTCTGGTTTGTAGTGCACACATGTACAAAGAAGCAAGGCTGTCCATTTTAAACAAGGACTTTAAAATGTTTAAACAAAAGTCTTTGATTTAAAAGCGGACATTGTGTTGCACAATCCTGGGCTGGCAAACAATTATACTAGGCCTCAGAGACACCCTAGCATTGGGCAATGCTGATAGTGATAGCCACAAGGTGACATTGACAGATGTGAAAGGTAGATCTTGGCTCAGGAAACGATGAATCATACACCATGCAAAACATAATAAGAATTAATAGCTGTGTAAACTAGTAGAACATGCCAATATGTTGGTAATCTCATGTTTATGGTTGTAGAAGATGAAAAGGTCAGGATGTCTGCTCTTAAACTGCAATAGTTAGATGAACACCATTTTGACAGTGGGGGCTGCCAGTCTATAAACCAATGTAAAGATAGGAATGATACCTTCACATTGCAAAAAATTTTTCAAGGAATGTTTTTTAAATACAATTTAACTGTCAACTAAAGTTACTGAAGACAAGATGGGATATTGGTATGAATTTTAACAGTTAAAATTAACATGATAGAACAAAAGATATATGGGAAATATTTAGGACACACATTCTGTATTTCAACACTGAGAGATAAAGATGAGGATACACAAACTAAGGCTTCATTATAATTTATAAAAAGAAGTATAATCATGACTATGAGTACTAATTTTGGTATTATTATCTCAGTATATTTATTTTATTTTATTAAAGTATTTTGTAATCATTTGTCTTGTCTTGCTTACAATAAGTATGCTGAGGTTGTTTCATGAATAACTTTGTTGTATATTAATTGTAATTTGTGTTAAAGGGCCCCAGTGGATGGTGATGTATTAGGTTTCACCATCATGAAAAAGACATCAAAAATAAACAATGAGGATGATATACAGAGCAAAAATGGTTGCTTTCATCAGCTGACAGATAAAACAAATTTACCAGCTATACTAAGCATCAACAACAAAGGCTTGAATCCCACCGAGTGCAGCCTCAAGAAAAATTTAAATATACCAATGACAGTCATAGTGATGATTGTATACGCCACAATTCATCTTGTAAACAAACACTCTAGGCCACAACAATTTACAAACTGATATTCAAATTACGTTCTTGTACATAACGCTCAAGTTTTCGAATCCTACAGGAGGATTCATAATTAAAAAGCCAAACAAAACCACAGGATGGTTGACTAAATTTATTATAACAGGTCATGCTTCAGTGAACACTATTATTACATGAATGCCAATAATATATTTAAAATCGATCAAGAATGCTATCAAACTCATGAATAATTCTCAGTCCTGCTTATTATCTTGAAGTCTGCTGTGAGAGGCATTTATCAGAACACTACTAGGATATGCGTAAGCCTGTCATTACCATTATTAGCAAGAAAAGTATGATTAAATTAAAACAATAATCATGATAAATTTCCCCTTAAAGATTGGTTTTAGATGAATATAAATTAAAATTTTATGGTTGATTTAGTTTATTTAGACCCGGATGAAAACATCAATGCTACCCTGGATTTAAAGCGATGCAATAAAGCATTGAGACATTTACTGTATAGTACAATTACAGTAACAAATCAACAAAATATTAAGTACCAGTATTATTTTTAATGCAGATCTAAGTGATATTGCTAATGCATTAACAATAAATCCACACCATCACCTTAAAAGCTACCGTACTTTACTACAAAATGTGATAATATTTATGTTCTATTTACATCATATTGTATTTCTTTATGACTGTACTTGGTTGATTGGTTCTCTTGTTGTCTGACACATGATGTTAATTCACAAAAAAAGAAAAAAGATTTGAAAGGTAAATTCTGGTCATAGGAATAGGAACAGTGTGATGAACTAGAAAAATGGGGTGCTTCGAAGAGATGTATAGTTTCTTTAAAGTGCACAGAAACCAGTTTGTATCAATTAATGGGCCTAATGGTCATTAACGGAGAATACCCGGGTCAAACAATAGATCTTTCCACATTGTCAATCAAATCGATCTTAACTACCCAACCAGAGAAGGGGCAGGAATACACAAGTCCTTCAAATACATGTGTTGCCCCACGAATGCATGTGTTTGCATATTTAATGTGTTTGTGGGGGGACCTTAACAATATCACAGGGCCGAGACTCGTTGGAATGATCCATTGTAACCCTTAGTGAGGAAGTCGGAACCAGTACTATTGACAAGGTTGTATTTGCGGTGCCTCTGGTATACAGCTTCTCTGTACAATTAGGCAATGTCTACAGCACCTTGCGTTCACAAGCTGTCTCTATCCAAGTACTAATCGAACCCAACACTCCCTGAATTTTAATGATATTTAATACTGTTAAAAAAAACTCGGGTAATTTAAGGAATATTTTTAACCAGTATTTAAGCAATAATTTTATTTTTTATAATATTATTTTGTATGTTAAACACCAATTTTCAACAACCACTATTTAAATAAAATCATAGAAATGTACAGTAATAACCTTTGTTATCATAATCATCAGGAATTGTAACAATACTCTTCAATAATGATTTGGATTTTAAGGAGAGGAGTCTTGACATACCTGCAGTATGCGGGATAGACGAATCCCAAGAAGCTACTGATGAAGGCTGCTGCATAGCCAAACACTAACCACAATGCAACTATTCCAGCCACACCTGCGAACATGCAATAAACATAGAAAAATACTTCATACAAGTCATCAGTATTATTGACATCATAATTGATATTTGCAAAGTAGTATGATAGATAAATAATGTAATATCAAGCTATAGTATGATATTGAATAGTTTTCAATTGAAAATAAAAATAGCAGTACAAATATACTACTATAATGTACACATACTGTAAATATCTAAATTAAAAACAACGCTGCAGACTTATGTTACTCTATACAGTACTTTGAAAAGCAAATTTCATGAATTAGTAAGTTGTACACAACAGTACTGATTGATGACATCAAACATAATTAGTTATTTTACCTTGGACTGCAAATTTCAAAGCTTTAGGATTTTCCTGAACTTTTTCTTTCAAATTATTTAAATACGACTCCATTTTTCAACTACTTGAAGAAACTCTTGCTTCTTCTAGAATGCAAAAACTAGCACAGAAAACCGCCCTTAAATAAGGGACTGAGTGAACTAAAGATGTGACCGCAGATAGCTTTGTCATCGATTGACGGATTAATTGTTTTAAAATGTCTGCTTCTGTATATGTAGCAGGAAAATTATAAGTCTATTCAGGATGTGATTTTGGAGGACTTCCCTACACTTGTGGCTTTTAGACCCAATCATTTGCCTGTGACTCCACATGGTGGAAGGAAGTGACATCACAAAAAATATATAATTATATATTGCATACATTTATACAGCAAATTAATTTGAAAAATTACCTTTTTGTGTAATTGTGCAAAACAAAGTTGTATATAACATATTTCCTATTTACTTAACCCATCAAGTTTTTTATATACTGTATAAGTTTTTACCATTTTAAAATAAACAAATAAACATTTTCTATAAAAAATAATAAATTGTAATTACATAGCCTATTATTATATAATTGGAATTTACATAATACAAATTAATAAAACAAGGTTATCTTCAACACAGGCAATGGTGCTATGAATCTATATAAAAAGACATTATAAATAACATACCGGTATTATCTTACTACCAAATAAAAATATGAAGGTCACATGTCAAATTGTGATTACAATATGTCTTGCAATCTCAAGGTGATTACAAACTTATGAATAATTCATCAGCAACTTAGGAAATATGAGGGTAGCATTGAATTGTGATTAAGAAAAATGGCAAATCATTAACCTGGTTACCTAATGACAGCATTCTAATAAATATTAACCACTGGCGCAGGAAGTTCTGGGCATTTTCACATTTTTGTACTGTGAGCAGGAGGGAGAGAGGGAATGGGACTGGCTCTTCATAATTGCCACATTCAAACACACAAATAGTTAAACAAGAGTACAGTGTAAATAATATTAATATATAGTCTGTTCATTTATATTATTTACTCTTGTTTCACACAAATAGTGAAACAAGAGTAAATAATATAAATGAACAGACTATAGCAAGCACATACGGTCATACATTATAGTAAATTTAAAATGTTGTTATTCCATCAGACGACGACCCTTGCACCCTAAATGTGGTCTTATGACAGTCCCATATCCTTTTCACCCATGGATTGCTTGACATGCAAATGACTTTCACTATAGAAGCCTACAGTACCCTCGATTAGGATAAGTCCTTCAAAAATTATTATCCTGTAACCTCAGAACAAATACATTTTTTTTTCAACTTGTGGCTTGGGCTCCTATCTATTGGTGGTCCTATATGTGGCAGTCCCTGGTCTCTACATGTGTTGCTAACTGTCATTATGTTCCCACTTGCTTATCATTTTGGGAGGTCATCAATTATATTTAAAACCCAACAACTCAACCTACAATGTTTCTTTATAACAAATTTGTATCATTTGGATGGTGGTGTAGCATAAAAATTCTTTCGGAATGCACAGACCACTTGTAGCATGCATTCCTACCACTGTGCTTTACTTTCCCCCTTTTCTTATCGTTATGGTCAAATGGGAACACACTATCGCTACAACTTTAAGCCAAGCATGCAGATGTAATAATATTTCATTAGCATTATCAAGATGTAAACATTGTAAAACTTGCCAGGAAATTAGGTGTTTATGTACAGGTAGCTGGAGTATCACTATCAGGTGACTTCAATAAAATTTAGAAGATCAAAAAAGTCATAACAAACTTATTACTCACATACTTTAAAAGGCTTAACATTTTTTTTTTCAATTGAGAGATATTCAACTATTTTGAAATTTCTGTGTTAGTGCACATTACAACAAATTTTAGACAGCTCCATGTTCGAACTACCTCTGCACCTAATTTTGCACAGGGGATACACAAAAAGTAAAACAAAAAATGATTGACAAAAAAATTCTTTGTTGGTAGCTTTAACTTATGACAAAATAACAATTTATTTATTTTGTGTTAGTTACTGTAGTTTGGATGACAATATTTAACATTCTACATGGACATTCATAATTTTTATGTGAATTACTGTATAATGTAAAACAAAATAGAAACTGCAGTTTGAAGCCAGAGAATAATCTTAAATCACTGCAGTGTTGGATTAATTATTGGACCATGAAGCTGGTGCATGATTTGGTTGAATGGTGTTGAACTACAGAAAGACAAGTAGGCCCTAGGCCTAGGCTAATTTGATCAGCAAATCATTACGTGAACCAAGATAAATTAGAACAAAAATTCGTAACTGATAGACGCTGAAATATAGAGGATATTAGTTACCAATATTAATTGATGATTACAAGTAACGAAAAACGTATTCGTAGCTTGATTTATCAGGCACACTGAGCCATTTGCGTAGGAAGGTCATAGCTTTAAGCTTTTGTTCTCTCACCTGTCGACCGCCCTACCCAACCTCATTTTCACTCACCCAACACCAGGTATATGCGCTTTATTTTCGTCTTCTCTTCAATCATTGCTAGCACATCTGTCACTGGATTTTTGTCATTTAAAGCCTTTTCGAGCTTTGCTCTCCATCCTTCAGTATCACTTGCCATTTTCAATGTGTTATTTGATTTAACAATTCGACTCGCAGACAAATTGGTGAGAAGCTACTTTGCCGAATGACCCTTGATCTGAAAAACTAAATCTCTCTTTGCTCTCGGCAGTAGAATTTCTAAACGCCCTCATTTTTTTAGCATAACAGAAATTAACATAATGTCTTTCACAATCAAACCAAGCTGGACCGCTGGTATTTCACATATTCATAAATTTGTTGCGTAACGTCATAATATGGAAAGCATGGAGAAAAAGCAAGAGGGATTAAATAATTTCAGTTCTTTAAAACTAGATAAATGGCTCGTGAATCAGTGCAAGAACCTTGGGTTAAACCGCCCGACGCCTATACAACGGAACTGCATCCCGCCCATCTTACAAGGTAGGGGATCCGGCTGTGCCACGTACGGGGGCTAGGCCTAACCTACTACTACTACTAGCTAGGTGTCTTACTAAGTAAGTGTTTAGTTACCCTTAGTTTAGGCTAGGTTACTGCCAATGCCGAATGCAGTCGGTCGCGCCTCATATTTGCCGTGTTGCGCTTCTGTGGCAGAGTGTGGAGCGCCGACGAAGTTGTGCACGAACGAAACTTGAAAGTCTGGGCCTTTATCATAATTAGTGAATTAGGCCTAGGCCTACATACAGTTATGTCATTATAATATCAAGTGCATTGATTTATCATACATTTTTTTGTTATATCTGTAGAATTTTTATTTTGTGTTTGTGATCATACTTTTAAGGCTTAATATAGCAAGTCCAGACTGTATTAGTAAGGCCTGCGTGGGGAATAAATCCTCAGCGCACAAATTTGGCCTAGAAATTTGTCCACACGTTTTGGAAAGGGCTGATTTCTTTGCAGATTTTGCTGAAAATTAGGCTTCGACCTAATCTTTAATATAAGAATGTCTTATGCAAATCTGCGCACCTATTTTTCTAGCAATTTTTAAAATTTGAGCTGGTTTTGAGGTACTGTATCATTCGTAAAATTAAAAAACTTTACAGTATGGCAGCATGCATAAAACATGAATATTGAATACAAATATAGAAGATACTTCACAATGGTACTCATGTTTTTAGATACATAAATGAAACCGTAGCAAGATATAGAATATATTATGTGAAAATAAATGGAATATAGTATATTACTTTTTATAATATATTTTTTATGTTTGTTGCATTTCTAATTACGATAAGCCCCCCAAAAAAGGTTATTTGCAAGGACAGCTGTGCGCCAAACTAAAACAAAAACGGTTATTTGCATGGCTTGATTTACACATCCACCATGTTTTCTCGAAATCATGAAACTTAATGAAATCCAAGCCAATATCAATAAAATCCTATAAAAGTGCCTTTGAATTACAAATTTACTAAGTTTGCCTGCCGCATTTGTAACAGAACAGTGCGATGTAGGCTCATCTCATTTTTGTCATTATTTCTAATGAAATATTTTTTTTAGGACAAGACTGTATTGGATGTGCAAAAACTGGAAGTGGAAAAACGGCAGCATTTGTTTTACCAATCCTTCAAAAACTCAGTGAAGATCCATATGGCATTTATTGTCTTGTCCTGTCTCCAACAAGGTAACATCTATTTCAATTTTTCTTCGAATGTTTTGCTACACCTAATTTTAGGTCCATGCTGATCATTTTAGAAAAAAAAAACCAATCAATCAATAAATAAACAGTATATAAATTAGTGTCAAGTTTTCTACTTTTTAAGATGAAATTTTCATTTTTGTGCTTTATATAGCGATTTACACCGAAACGGTCTCAAAGCGCTTGAGGTGTTAACTGGCTCGTACAGTAACTTTCTTCTCCCCTAAGTGTCTCTTCATGTCTGAGCTACCCTGTAAACCGGTACCAGCTACTCTCGTCTGTCCACAGCAGGCGCTGAATGGACCAGCACACTGGGGCCCCCCCCCCCCCCCCTCGCACTTGTCTCAAAAGATGTACTGGGTTCTTTGAAGTGCATGTTAGCCAAATTATGAACACAGGGACTACAGTACGGTTTATAGTCCTTATCCGAGAAGACTTGATCCACCACCACAACCATAGGCGAGCGTGCCATTTAAACTAGCACCAATATTATTATAGATGTATGTTGCGGCACCCCTGCCTTAACCACTTAGCCATCTACTGTAACTCATGTAATCATTACATTAGTGATTTTATTTTTTCTTCTGAAGGGAATTGGCATACCAGGTTGCAGACCAATTTAGAGTATTAGGAAAACCAGTTGGACTGAAAGATTGTGTAGTTGTTGGTGGAATGGGTGAGTACCACAAATTATAGAATTGTCTGTAAAATAACAATTGCATATTTGTTATACAAAAAAACTTAATTTGAATAAGAATTGAAATGTAAGAACAATATAAAAAGGTCCTTAATTTAATAAGATAACACACTAGAAACTTCTTCTTTACAACAATTGATTAGGCTTGGTGGTTATTAGGTTATTGCCTTCCAGTTTCTGGGTCATTTGATTGGTCATGAATCCTGGATCATGTTGTTGGGTCATGACTCCTGTCAAAGTCAAGACATTTTTCTCCCACTTAAAACAATTTCACTCATCCAAAGCCTCATGATATTGTGAATTGGTTCATTAGCATCACACTATTAGTTCTCAATCAATGTTGGATAGGAATAAACAGTGAAAAAAATATATAAATATTCTGTGTTAGAAATTGTTTTCTCCCTAACATACAATGAATTAAATATTAAAAAATATATTTTTTATACTTTGAATTGATCAGATATGATCACCCAGGCTACAGAGCTATCAAAGCAACCACATGTAGTTGTTGCAACACCAGGACGTCTGGCAGATCATTTAAACAGTGCATCCACATTCTCACTGAAGAAGATTAAGTACCTTGTAAGTTATAATATGTGGATTTAAACAATTTAACTCATCCTATTTGTCTCACTTATAGCAAGTTTATTAATGATTATTATTTTCAAATATCTACAATATATTATTCCAAGTTTTCATATTATAAGACTATAGTAGCATTGAACTATTTTCTTTTATAATTGTTTTGTAATTTTTTGTTAGTAAGGTAGCACACTCAATTATATATCTTTTTGTTATAATAATGTCTCAGGTTTTAGATGAGGCAGATAGATTATTAGAGGGAAATTTTGGACCTGATTTGGAGGTTATATTTGATGCATTATCCAAGAAACGACAGACACTTCTGTTCAGCGCCACCATTACACAGACATTGGAGCAGCTCCGAACGATTGCCATGAAAGAACCATTCTTCTATTCATGTTCCTCAGAAGCAGAGTATGTTGCATTTAAATAAATTTATCCAGTTTTTCAATTGATTTTCTATAACACACAGAGAAAAACTGATTTTGCAGACTTTGGAAATGCACATTTAATTGCCAGTAGATTACCAGTTTCATAATCTATCATAGTACATTTACAATGTGAACTTGGCACTGTGATTTTATATAAAGTGAAAATGAAATAAACTCAAAGTGCTTTATTTCCCTGGGTCATCGAATAACACATTGTGCAATCCTCCCTTGTTACAGATACAAAATCTACAATAATTACATTTGCATCATTATAACTTTTTTTTTCAGGATAGCTACAGTAGATACCCTGGACCAGCGATACGTCTTGATGCCCAAGCAAGTGAAAGATGCATATTTATTGTTTATTTTACAAGAGTACATGGCTGAACACGAGGACCCATCTATACTCATCTTCACTAGTACCTGCAAGTAAGACAATGTCACATCAACCATTTTACACATGATTAGTTTAGTTTAACCACAGGAAATCTGCTGAGATCAATCAAATTACAATGCTTAGGGAGTGAAGGTGCTGTGAGGTAAAATATGAACAGAGGACCCAAGGATTGGAGTGCAAGCATTTGAACCAGTAGTGGCGCCGGCGGGGGAAGGGGATTAGGCAATTGCGGCCCCCCCCCATGGAATTTTGATTGCCAATCCTAACATTGTTCTCTAAAAGCAAAATTTGGGCCATACTAAGCCATAAACACTCTCCTACCAGGATTATTATTAATTTTATTACGAAACCCTGACAGTGGCTCTAGACAGCCACTTGGTTCTGATTGCCTCTTAGCAAATTTCTGGAGCCACTGCTGATCGTAACTGCTAATCTGCGGCTCAAACTTTATAAATATTATAAACTACATGCATATGCTGATATTAAACAGTGTTTTTTTCGTTGTTAATATATGTATTTTTTTATTGTAATTTTCATAAACATTAATTACCATTATTATTAGTGTTATTGAAATGAAATCAATGTTTGAAATACAAAAAAAAAAATATTTTAATTGTGTGTTTTGTTGTTCTATTATAGGAGCTGTCATTCAGTTGCAATCATGTTAAGAAAAATGAATTTGCCTTGCGCTGCTCTGCACTCGTTAGTCAATCAGGTAATCAATAATTCATTTTATTAAAGCAAGAACATTTTTAAAAATAGACAATAAACAATTTATTATGTAATTGTTTATGTGAATGCTTAAAATTCATAACATTTTTTTTTTTTTGTATTTTTTTTTAGCGCACAAGATTAAGTTCCCTAGCTCGTTTCAAATCAAATCAAGTGAACATTTTGATAGCAACAGATGTTGCAAGTCGTGGCCTAGACATCCCCGCCGTTCAGCTTATCATCAACCACAACATTCCTGGCTCGCCTACTGACTACATTCATCGTGTTGGCCGTACAGCGAGGGCAGGACGTGGTGGCATGGCAATCAGTCTAGTTACGCAGTTTGACGTGCAACTTGTGCATGCAATTGAGGAGAGAATAAGTATGCATAATGTTTTTAATTTTAACATAATATATGAGGCTTGCCATCCAAAAACTAGCATCAGTGACTGAAATATGAAAATTGACATTTTAATGTGTTCTTATTCTCCACATTGTAAGTTAAGTGTTAAAATGATAGGTGATTTACTGGAATAGTCTTACTATTGCAAAAGTTATGAGTAAAAGTATTATGGCTTATCTGTAC